AGTGGGTGGGATATATCAGGCAGGAACCTTCAGGTTCCCGGTGTTGGGGTCTCTGTGAAAATAATCAGAGGAAGAAACACTTGTGAAAGGATGCATTAGTTCTGTAGTAAAATAATCCTCACACTGTAAAAATGTTACAGTGTTGATCATGCAAAGTGTGTTTTACCCAGTTCTGGCGAAGTTAGTCCAGTAAGCAATCAGATAGCCAGATAGGTCTCTGTTGTTCTTGGCTAAATGTTCAAATATGTGCTTCAGTCTCCCATTGATAATACACCGTGAAAGTAAATTATAGGAAATATTTATCATTTATTTACTTAACTTCACTTCTGTATTTGTTTCTGTTTTTACTAGATGCCTTTGTAACTATATTGATCCAATAGTGCTCTCAGGATACTGTATGTAAGGCACATTTCTGCAAGGGTCTTCCAGAAATGTGGAAAAAGACATCCTATCCCTGTGACCAGCTCCGCTGACCTTTTGTGTCACCATAAAAGGTGATACAATGTGTTGAACTCTGACTTTTGCTAGATTTTTGCCATCCTAGCCTTGGCATACTATTTCATCTCATGTCTGGCTTTTAGTATAAGGCAGCCTACTGTAAGCTCTTACTGTATAGCTCATCTTACTCTTATAGGGCGTGTGAATGCAATTAAAATGGTGTCACTCACCTGATTTATGTATTTGTTTCAAAATATTTATATAATTCTTTAAAAAAACATGACTCAGTAATAATGCCAGGTATAAAACCCATTATATCTCCAAGACTCACTTACAGAAGCCCAGGAGACTGGGGGGTTACCCCATCCAGTGTTCCAACTTTATTATTACATAGCTAATGCCAGAGCCCTAATTTATTGGCAAGATCAGTTTCTTCAAACATGAAGCTCTCTGATATACCCAAGTGGCTGAAATTGGAGTCTTGTGCAGTGAGAAACAATTCTCTTGCAGCCCTTCTATTTTCCACAAAGGAGCATCCATTGCATCTGTTGGGAGATAGTTTTGTCCTGCAAGATTCAATAAAAAATGTAAAGCAAATTAAAAGGGTGTTCCAAGCACCTGAATTTTTACTATTTGTTTCAAACATACTTACTGGAAGGATAAAGGTGTGACAACCATCACAGACTTGTACATAAATACTCACTTTCCATCTTGGAGCTAAAGAAACCCTTTCTTAGACATTTTGCTAAAGCTAATGTACAATTTCATGAGTGCTGAATATTCACAGTCAAGTTCCACTACAGCACACAGAAGGTTTTGCAAGGTATTCATGTGCTAAAGCCAACAATCTTGTGATAGACAGATTATTGATTTATTGATAATAACACAAATTTTACAGACAAACTAGTATATGAAACACATGATGGCAGATACATTCACTGCATGTCTATGTACTGTATGTAACTTTATTGTAGAACGTATGTAACAGTTATGATTCAATATAACAGCACATGTGTGGTTATTAGAAGTCTAAATTCCATCAGTTTTGGACGTAAAAAACAACAACAAATGAGTCTGTGTATATAAAAATTTTAAATCATATTATTTACATAAATCATCCTATAAAGTTAAAATAAGGGCTTTTAAGCAGGCTCCATCTCCATAACAACTGACAAAGACATACATCCTCTGCAACCTGTTGTGGGTTCTTGTATAGAGCCCAGGGGCAAAGGGCAACACCACTCTGGGAGATGGCCCTCTTGATCAGCCCTTTGTTGTGGGGCGAGAGAGTCTGTGTAGGAATACATTCACATAATACAAAAGTATTACTTGTAGTTATGATTGTTTGCAAGGCTTCGGTAATGAAAAAATTTATTAAATAGCACTCTCTTCAGGCCTTAACCTTGCCACTTATGACTGAAAAGTATAGTAAGAGTCATAAGTGTTGTTGTGCTGGCAAGTTTTATAAGGAATACTTTGTAAGGAGTTCATAAGTTGTAACTAATGTATTTATTAAAAGTTAGTAAAAAAACTAACAAATATTATTAATATATTATATTTAATAACTCTTAAATGGTTCTTATTAATGCATCATTGCTTACCTACATAGTCTTAATGAATTATTTTAGTACAAGCATTAATAAAGCTGTTAGTAACAAACTTCCATGCCTGATTAGAAGGTGGTACTGTGTTTATGCTAAAGCCTCTCACCTGGAAGCTGACACTAGCTCCACCTGCAGACTCTCCAAAGATAGTCATGTTGTCAAGGTCTCCTCCTGCTGTCAGGAACCAAGATGTTAAGGTGGAGGCAGTCTTCACTACCAAAACTTGATGTCTGGAGCATGCTCATCTGGAGACATCGCTTAGCAAACTTTGTTGCCTTAAGTACGCCTGGGGATAAATTGATCATTTATTATCAGGGATGAAGGGATGATTTGAAGTGTAAGTGAGATTTCTAAGATGCTGTTCACACACCATCCCAGCCAGGATGAGGTTTAGGTTTCTCAAATTTTCCAGGCTTGGCAGCAGAAAGAATTCCTTTGAAAACATCTAAGGAGCGGGAAAGACTGAGGAGGATATTTTGTCCCTGAACGCTGCCACCTTCAGTTTGTACAACGTCCAGCTAGAGACAAAGTCAAACATGAGCTTTCAACTTCACTGACAGTATAAAACAGTAAAGTAAATAAACGGTGACATTTCAAAAAATAGAGATTAACATCATAGTGCACACTGCACTGTACTATAAGCAGAATGTGCTCTGAGTAATTACATTCATGTGACATTGTTAGAATTTCCTTCTTCTTGCAAAAGCTAAAAAATAAATGTTACATTTCCAGTTAATAATTTGCGATCGCAGAAAATTGACAGATGTGAAGTAAACTCGTTAGAAGTGAAGGCAGACACCATTATAACAATTCCCACATCCCAACAGTAACATAGATTTAATATTTTAGCCCAAAATTAGTCAAACATCTTCAAATCACAAAGAGCAGATTAATTACTCCATGCAAATTGTGCATGCTACTGAATGAGTTCGTTCTTATAGCCTTACAGAAGCTGCTGAGGCCGTCCCCAGAGACAAGACAACAGCAAACAGAATTTTCAGTTTCCCCATAGCTGTCCATAAACCAGGTCCTCCACCAGTGCTTATATACATGAGACCCCCTGCAAGATAATAAAAGGTAAATAAAGCAGTTTGCTGTTGTTATACAACCTCTACACCCACACTATCATCCTGTGATCCAATTGACCATGATTTGACATCTAAACCTGTGATTGGAAATAGCCTGGTGTGAACCCTGCAAACTGAATCAACATATTCCAAACAGGATATCATGTTGAGTCTGAATACTTCAATGTTTCGGAGCCACTGGTCAGTAGAGGCTAATCCTGTGGTCTCTGGACTTTGTTCCGACATCTTCCCATTATAATATTTCATTATTTTGTTCTCTTATTTGATATTAGGAATCAAATGATATTGAAGACACATTAACACATGGAAGAGAGAAAAGCCTCGTAAAGTGGGTTATGGACTAAATGCTGCTGTTGACTAACAGAAACAGGTGGACTGACTCTCCGATTAGCAAAGACCACATGGTTTAAGATAAGATAAAACCTCCAAAACAACCCCTCGCATCTGAAGTGCTGCTATTGGTGGAAAATGTGTTTGAACTTTAGTATTTTGTTCATGCTAGAGATTAAGAGAGACCAAATTATTTACAAGCCTTCCTGCCACAACAGATCTGCACAGACACTCCTCTGTCTACATTATAAACACTGTAGTGACAATATAGAACATATTAAACGAGAATTTAGGGTATATTTTAACTTAATGCAGAGCTATTCAACTGCTACAGTGTATGCAGATGTGTTATATAGGAAGAAAACTAAATATAATAAATAAATAAATATTAGACCTGATTATCTATCATCAGATACTCATTATTAAAGGATTCAGATCAAATCCATCATTGGGACATAACTTTAGTCACATAGACCTCTGTAAGTAATATGCACAACCAAATTCAGTGATGTTATACAAGTGCTGAGTCAAATTCTATCTATTGAGAATGAATAATTGTTAGTTTTTGTTGTAATGAATACAACTCAATGGGAGTGTGTGCCTCCTATTATTAGGGTATTGATGTATTGTTCTGTAATGATCAGTTGTAGTAATTAATAACAACAGTATTATAACTGTTTGCTGATTAGTTCCTTTATGGATATAGCTGTTTCACATTATTCTACAAGGAATACAGCGCAGATTGGCAGAAAAATCTAATTCCTCACACTTGGAACCAAGAACATGACCACAGTACAAAAAAATACAGAAACATATTGGTTGTTTCAGAAAAAAAATAAACAAAAATTATTTATTCCGGAGGTGACTGCATATTTGGCGGCCGCAACATGCTCGAATGATCATGGAAATTTGTACAAAATTCAATCGTTCACTCACCCCAAGTATGCAATTGTCCCCGTGCTGGGCGCCACCAAATAGCGGAGCCCTGCCACCCCGAATCAGCCCCCAAGACCTGTAAGGCCGACATGTACAAAAACCGGTACGCATGTGTATCGTGATAAAAGAAGCAGAAAAGCCTCTTGGACCCATACCTCAAACTAAACAGGAAGTCGGCCATTTTGGATTTAGCGGCCATTTCTGGCGATTTGGCAACCGTTGTATTTGAATGAACTC